TGCTCCAGGTGGAAGGTGGGTCTTTTTCCCAATTAGGGATAAGTTTCATGAACAAACTGAAGGAACAGCTATAAATTCACCGTTATCCCCATAATTGGCAAATATCCAAGGACCAAAAGAAGAAAGATCTAAAATTAGCAACTTTTAAGCCAAAGCGTTGATTCAGATATGTTGACGATACTTTTACCATCTGCTTCCAAGGATTTTGGGACCACAATAATGGGATACATTTGGACATTAGCTTCAAGATGTACTTTGAAGAAAATGGTAACCCACGTCCTGTCAAGAGGAAACTGGAAGACATCCTGCGGCACATAATTTATAAGCGACATATGCCAAAAGGTTTCTGACCCAGAAATACAGTATTGTCAATACATGCACAGAGCACAAGCTATCTTCTAGCTAGATTATTTGAACAAGGAACTATCTCACGTATAATAAGATCTATTTAATAACGTTATAGGAAACTACTCTGCGGACTAAAGTTCCGCCCAACAATGAATTACACTCGCAATATCTATAAATATGTTAATCTCTCACCCATTTTAATTAATGACAAAGGAAATGACCTGACACATTTATAATGTAAACTTTCAAAGAAATTATCCCTTTCGTTGTTTCTAACGCCACCTCTTTGAAGAAGATAAACTCGTGTAATGGACCAAGATAGATGAGCTGACCTATTTTTGTATTTTAAGGATTGTTTTTTCAAGATATTTTTTAAAATTGGAATTGATATCTACATATATATAATCTTTCTGAAGATCAAAGTGATGTCTTTCGAAATATCAACTTTAAAATAACGACGTGGAAACTGTTCATCTGAAAGGATTTCTTCCGTTTTATGCGAAAAATGAACTCTTTACAAAATAAAATTGAGGAATTTTTTATTACAAATAAAATTTTAAATACAAATTGAGAAAGCAACAATTTTGTTGCTCTTTTGATAATTACATTATATTTACAAAGAAAAATTTGAAATTATGACTTTTTGTTTTGAAAAGAACAGTTTTATACACTACGCATAGAAATTAAGGGATATTAAAAAAAATCACAAAATTTTGGATGATTTTCAAAGAGCTGTAACTTGGAGGGAAATCGCCGTAGAGAGAATCAAAACAAATCTGGAATTAAAAATTTTTTAGCGTTGGCAGTTTTTGAATAATCATAAGAAAATCAACGAAAAAAATTACAAATTTTTGCTTTTCTTTAAAAATTGTTTTTGGTAATTTCACAATAAATTTCTTTTAGCTAATTTAATTCTCTTCAATTTGAGCGGTTTCAGAACCTTGTGCGATGATTTGTCGCTAAGATATCTTCGATCAAAGCAAATAAATCAATTTTGACTTTGGCAATCAATTACTCGAAAAATAATGGTCATACAGAAAATCCAAGCAGGGTTTTGAAACTGCAAAGTATTATTGGTTTTAGATAAACAAATTTTTGTTCGAAGTGTAAAGGTTGGTTAGAAAAAAGGTAAAAAATTGCATAATTAGGGATATATCAATAACTTGACATAACTTTGCAATTAATGAATAAACTAGAATAGAATAGAATAGAATAGAATAGAATAGAATAGAATAGAATAGAATAGAATAGAATAGAATAGAATAGAATAGAATAGAATATTAGAATATTGACTGTAACTTTTCAAGTTTATTCATTAATTGCAAAGTTATGCCAAGTTATTCAAATATCTCTAATTATGTAATTATTTACCTTTTTTCTAACCAACAATTTCACAATTTTTTTTAATTAAAAGCCAATATTTGCGACTTGTAGAGAATACTTTTTTATCTTTACCAGCCTTTGAGGATTCACTGTAAACATTTTATTAGTTAAATTGTAATTCTTGTCACTTGATTGAATAACTTATTACAATAACTTTTTAACAAAATGTTTCTGGTTCTAAGTGTTTGTTCATGTACAATTTTAGTAGTACTGTAATGTTTAATTTAGTATTTTCGATAAAATAATATTAGCGAAGAATTTTTAGTGACGAATATTCATTTATGAAATAAAGTTACAAAGATTTATATTAAACGAAGTTGTACTCCATTCTAGAAACACTTCCATTAGAATATTATTTATATAATGTCTACGGCGACGATGGCATCTTGACCTTGGACGTTCGTGGCTTTGACAAAAGTTACAGTCGGGAAAAACTCGTTTTTGAAGTTATCATCAGCGTTGATTTATTACTAAAGACGCCTTATACGTCTCATTTGGGTGCCATATATAAGAATTATGCAATTATAACATCAGCTTATAATTATAACTTGTCCAGTTTTAGGTAAAAACATTCAGCGTGGGTAGGCCAAGGTGCAAAATATCTGACAAATTAATAAATTAAGAGTTGATTCATATGTTCGCTAATTAGTAATTAATTATGTATAAGAATGCGTAGATGTACATAAAAGCTGAGAAAGGAACAGCTGAAACTGACGAAATAATTTAGCAAAAATTTGCAATTTAATATGTCAGACGTTATCGTTAAATTCTACAATTTGTGAAATAATTTGTTTGTGGCAGGTTGAAGGGAATTGGACGACAAATAAAGAGAAAGGTTAAATCAGCGCTATAAAATACTGGCGTCGTTTGGAACAGATGTGTAATTTAGGAGTGACAATTTGTTTTCAACGTATTTTAATGCAATTACAACAGTGATTTGTACGCTATTTTGCTTAGAGTGTAATTTGCAACTACTTTGCTTCAAAAAAGGTCATTTTGTCCAAAATGTCGATGTAATTTCAAAGTAAGAAATTTAAAATCCTGTAGAATATATAAATATTTTAGTAAAGGTACGTTACTGGAAAATGAAACGTTCAAAATAGAAGTTGCCGCTTCAAAAAGCTGAGGAAATAGCACGTTATAAGAAACTTTTGGGGGTTTAGGAGTTTTTATAGTTCAGCGCTGCATAATGATGTCAATTAACATTTTGCTCGTCAAAATTCGCTCGACAGCCCACATGTAGATGAAATTGTTTGAATATTACTTTTCAGAAACTGTACTTTTACAGATTTCTGCAGAAAATAAGGATGTGATATGGGTGCATTTAATATAAGACTAAAAGACGCAAATCCACATTTTGCCCATTAATTTTGAACCAACAGTCCTTAAACCCATAGACGTAAATCATCAGACATTAAATCAAATCCCGGCAACCCATAGAACCTGAACCTATAAACCATAAAACCTTAGCCCATAAACAATAAATCCTCATACCTATATCCCTTAAACCTACGGACCTTTAACCGATAAACCCTAACTCCAACTCTCACCATTTAACCCATAAACTGTAAGTTCATGAGTGTTCGGAGTTAAATTTTAAAAAGACCATGGTTTTAGTATTAAGAGTTTTTAATATTTGCTTTTGCCTTTGCTAACTAGCAAAACATAATAATTCAATATAAGAGATATATGTGTTAGTCCAGGCGCCTGAGCAGTAAAAGTAGGCTTTGGCGTTTGGTTTTGAAGTCATCTATTTTGTTGTACAGAAAAATTAAATCCTAAATATTATGTGGAATAAGAATCCGAGTTTGCCTATTCCAAAAAACCATTGCTAAATTCAGGGGAACAACAAACATACAAAAACAACGAAAAATGACCCGTTTTTCAACATATTTTTCACTGTAACAATGAAAGTAACCCCTAAATAAAAAAAAAGTAATTATTTATTTCTTCTTTATTTGAGAACGTACGCGCGATAAAAGATGACTTTTCTCGGGAACGGTGGCACTTATCAAGACGATTTTTTTTTCATTTGATATAACAAAAAAATGAGAGGAATACGAATATGTCATCAAATATCAATAAAATAAATAATTTTTGCAAGAATTTTGAGTTTAAAGAATTATGCCACTTTGTCTGCTATTAAAAAATAATTATACCTATTATTCCCGCTCTGCCGAGAAATTCCAGTGACCACGGTACCTTTCTTGATTTCTCTTCCATTAAGCTTTTATCCGCGAAAAATGCACTAAACGGATATTGAAAGTACTATAGTGCTATAAAACATATTTTTATTCTCGACTTCACGATTACGTAAGCTATAAATTATTATGAACTTTACGCTTCTATATCTCAGAATCTACAAAGTAGAATGCTGTCGTATTTGGCTAAAAAGCAAGGTGTTCCGACGTAGTTTTTATGTGTGCAAGATTTTGTCGATTGCATAGAAAATTCCCTGGGCAATAAATAATTGTCTATAGAATAAAATATTGAAAAATGTTAAAAAAATTCTAAATAGTTATAAAAGTGCAAAAATAGGTATTTTTAGTATTTATCATTGTTTATTATGACAACAAGTATCTCTAAAAAATTGTGTGCCCTTTCTGAACCTCAATTTAAACCCACGGTACGAGATAATCTTTTGGAAATTTTCTTAATTAACAATCCTGTCAATCGAAAACCACGTTGCAAACTTTTTAGGGTAGAGTTGACGTATGTTTTACAATTTATTCACAAAGTTTCATCAATATTTATATATATTTACTTATTTTAAAAATTGTTCCAAATATATTTATATATGATTTTCTACTATTTTTCGCCCATTTTTAATGCAAAATTCAACTTTTTTGATTCGCAGTTCTTGCAACTTTATAGAAAATCGTCAACTAAACAAGAAATAAAGAATGACTTTTTTTATTTAGGGCTTACTTTCAATGTTACAGGTCATATTTCGTTTTTTTTGTATGTTTGTTGTTCCCCTGAATTTAGCAACGGTTTTTTGGAATAGGCAAACTCGGATTCTTTATCTACATAATATTTGGGATTTTTCTGTACAACAAAAAAGACGACTTCAAATACAAACGCCTCGAATGCTCTAGCGCCTGGACTATGTAATGGATGTAAGGATTTAGAACCCCTATCTCTATTGTTTACCGATTTAGAATTTTGTGGATTTGGTTTATAGGTTCATGATTGACGGGTTTTGATTTGAAGAATATAAAAGATATATGGTAGGTTTATGGATTTAAGATTAATAGGGTTTAAGATTAATGGGTATGGTGTATGAGGTAAGAGTTAGTGGGATATATTTTACAATTTAATGACATATGGGCAAAGATTTAGGGTCATGGGTTCAGGGTCTATGTATTCATGGAGTAAGGGTTTATGGATTTAGTGTTTAAGGGTTGGGGGGGGGAGAGTTAATTGGTTTTAGTTTTGTGGGTTAAGGACGTATGAGCAAAGATTTATTTCATGGGTCTTAGGGTTATAACTTCAGGGATTATGGATTTGAAATAGCGTCTATTGGTTTAGAGTCTATGGTTCAAAATTAATAAGTATGCGAAAGTACAATAATTTAAGTCTTCGTAGCGTATAATAAATTTATCTATTCTACATCCTCATTTTCTGCAGAGATCTACAAAAAAAATTATTTCAGAAAGGTACTTAGAAAATTGAGCATTGTCAACACGTATACTATGGAGAGAATTTTAAGGCGAAAATGTAAATTTGCATTACTATGCGGCGATAATAACAGTTGTACTGAGTCAACCCCTGTTATTTACATTATGAACTATTTACTCTCGTACCTCACACGCAAAAAATTTCTTGTCTCAAATGGATTTTAAGGTATCGCACGTTTGTATATACGCAAGAAAATATTTTCTTCTTACAAGAAAATTATTTATTTATTTAAATACTTTAAATTTCTACCCAGAAATATAATTTCTTACTTTAAAAATAGGCAGCATTTAAAATAAATATTTGATACTTACGGTTGAACGAATTCTATTCTTAATTTTATGATCTACATAGATTTTATAGAAACATGTTTTGTATTGTATATTAATGTATCGTTTGTTTAATACAGAATTGAATAGTTTTGGTCAACTGATTGTATATAATTATTTTAAGAATATATGTGGATATAACTATTTCTCAATAGGTAATAAAAAATATTTTGTTTCAACCTCACAACAGCTAGTACAACAGCTAGGATCGTTCGCAAGTTTAACCAACCAGACATAGGTTGGTTTTAGACTTATTATTGGTCCTCATCATTATGTCGTTAGAACGATTCAGCTGCTTTAGTGTCGTTACTCACAAGGAGATGTGTATACACAGAGCGTAAGGAGCTCCATCTATCGTGCTACGTCCCACCTATGCCATTTTGTGACCTGCTACAATTTTCTTTCAAGAAAACATAAGTTTAATTATTATATGCTACACTTGTCTTCAATAATTCCTACATTAATACTAAATTTTAAATAAATTATATTTTAAAGAACTGGTAGTTTTTAAACAAATATGTCTGCAGTTTATGATGAACTGTAAGAGATATTGTAGCTAATGTCCGAGATAATAACTTTCAAAACTATAAAAGACTTGAATTAAATTATATACATTTACAAATAATATAAATTCTAAGAAAAATTATAGATTGCAACAAATATTTCACATAGTTTGACGAAAGTATATACATTTGATAAGAATAAAATAACATTTACGGCAAATAATTCCATTTAAAACTATTTGCTACTCCATACTGACTTGGTTTAATAAAACGTTAACTCTTTTGCCTGTAGCGGTCACATGAATACTGACTGGCCTCGTTTTCATTTCAGCAGCAGCACGAGCAGTACATTGGCCCGGCGTACGATCCATCCCGCGACCTCTCGCCGAATCTCCCCTCGTGCGACTCGTCAATGGGGGACGCGGAACCCAGCGTCTCCAGCGGCAGTTCTTGCAGCACCCCGTCCAACAACAACCACCAGTCCTGCGGCTCGGACACCTGCAGGGCTCCCCCGACGTCGATCCACCAGCCCCAGCACCCGGCCCGTTCCTTGACGCCAGCGGAGCTGTGCCGGCCGCACTCGTCCTTCGAGCATCACATACCAAAGCTAGAGCCGCTGCAGCCGGGGTCGCCGGCGACGCCCCCAGGAAGTTGTGCCGACGAAAACGGTGGTGCAGTGTGTGCTGGTTGTGGACATCGCATAAACGATCGATTTTATCTGCAAGCGGTCGACAGGAGGTGGCACGCCGCCTGCCTCCAGTGCTGTCAGTGCAGGAACACTTTGGACGGCGACATCACGTGCTTCTCCAGGGACGGCAACATTTATTGTAAAAAAGATTATTATAGGTAAGTCAACAGCCAGATATTTGCTAAATTCATTTCGCCCATCACTTGTGTGGTGGTCCATGGTGCTTATCCTTCCGCGGGGTATCCGCGGTGAAGTTTTTTGACTCATTTTCTATTTAGTTGCGTCGCAGGGGAAGGCAGTAAAAAAGGTGTCTCATCTCGTGAGTCCATTTCTTTCTTTAGCAACCTTGTTTGGGTCGATAATCAGTTTTTCCAATATATTGGAAAAACTATTGATTAGATTAGGGAAAAGTGTACAAAGATCAATAAAATGCCGCCTGCAAAATTAAAATCGGATAAATTGTTTAAAAGTTATTGCAGAAAAACATAAAAAAACGTGGAAAATCAGCTCTGGTTTAAGGTCAGTTCAAGGTCAAATGTAGAAAATCAATTATCAACAACCTAAACTCAATTATGAGGACATTTACTCCGATTTAGCTACAAATGGATTAACGGGTACCTATATTTGAGCGAAAGTACTTAGTTTTAGTTCAAATATTATCACAAATTAGTGAAAATGCTCAATATTGAGGGAAAATGTACTCAATAATTTCACTCAATGTAATATAGTGTAAAATTGTTCAAAGTTATTGTCTTGATTGTCCTTCTGTACTGGCTAAACTAAATCCATCAGATCCTCGGGAAAAGTCACGAAATCACGTACATTTCATCTAGAGGAAGCCCAAACAAACTTGTGGTAAAATTTTCCTTTACATTTTATATGTAGAATATATTTAGAAATTATTTTTTTTTTTAACATCTAACAGCCTATATCTGAAAAATAAAAACTTCGAAGGCAAATATTTGTATAAAATAATATTCTCAAAGAACCCCGCACAAAATATATGGAAATTGAACACCGGTCAATTTTTATGAAACTTCGTATTTTGATAGTCCTCGTCATGCTGATCAAAAGTCTCAATGGGCACGAAGCCCTCCAACCCCTTCCAACCCCCCAGTCCTCGTCATGCTGATCAAAAGTCTCAATGGGCACGAAGCCCTCCAACCCCTTCCAACCCCCCAGTCCTCGTCATGCTGATCAAAAGTCTCAATGGGCACGAAGCCCTCCAACCCCTTCCAACCCCCCAAAACCACCCCCCAAATATCAGGGTAATGAACTTGACAGATTACAGGTGATTTGGCTTACCGTAATATTTCACTGCTGTAGTCGAACCTACAGACACCTATACCATTACTAGGCTTAAGACTATCAATGGGCACCGAGCTCTGCAATCCCCACCAACCCCCCAAAGGTCAGGGGGATGCAATTAGCAGGTTATCGGTCAATAAGTCTACCGAAATATTTTACTACTGCAGTCGAACCTACAGCCGGAGTTTAACATTCCACAAACAGCAAAAAATCTTATGGCAGGTTTTGTACATCCTGTGGGTTAAAGGGTATTAAACAATAAGATGGGTGTAGGATGGAATTCAAGATTGAACGGTTTCATAAGCCGTGAGCAGGGATAAGTCCTACCCCAACCGTGGGATTTGGGTTGGGGGTGGGTGGTTCAAACGTTTAGGTGGCTGTGAGATGGAGTTGATGATTAAACAGTTACACAACCAGTAAGCAGGTAAAAGTCATATGACAGACTTTGGTGAGGAGGGAGAGGGATTGGGGGTTAAGTGTTTTGGAGATAGTAGTCTTAAACCTAGTTACAGTTTGGGTGACTGTATGTTCGACTGCAATAGTAAAATATTTCGGTAGTTTTATTGACCGATAATCTGTCAAGTGCATCCGCCTGACCTTTGGGGGGTTGGTGGGGGTTGCAGGGTTCGGTGCCCATTGATAGTCGTAAGCCTAGTTATGGTATAGGTGTCTGTAGGTTCGACTACAGTGGTGAAATATTACGGTAAGTCAATTGACCTGTAGTCTGTCAAGTTTATTACCCTGATCATTGGGAGTGGTTTTGGGGGGTTTGAAGGGGTTGTAGGGCTTCGTGCCCTTGAGACTTTTGATCAGCATGATGAGGACTATCAAAATACGAAGTTCCATAAAAATTGACCGGTGTTCAATTTCCATATGTTTTGTGCGGAGTACAGTATTACAGTAAATACGTCGAGTTTTTCACAAGTAGTTTTTGGGGTGTTCTGAAACGAATTTTAAAATAGTTATTTCGCGCTAGTTCGAAGAATACTTAAAATATTTTTTGGAAAAGAAAGCTTAAGTTTATCAAGTCGATATAATGTTCTGAGCCAAAGTTCCCCAGTAATAAGTATTGTATTAAGAGGTATTCAATAAAAAATGGTAAACAATCTCCAAGAGCATAGCGATATTTTCACTTTTGACATACTACGAGAGTTGATATTGTTGACGGAAGTAAAAATATACATTAAATTAAACAGTTCGGTCACAACCTCAGGACATATTCACAACAAAATTAATTAAGCATTTCAATATTATTATAGACATATTTTCGAATCGTCTAGCCGTAACAGCTAACTGTAATAATTGCCGTAAGCTAAATAAGTTCTTAAAACGGTAGACGGTAGTCAGTTCTTAATTATTCTTATGTTTAACTTTACGTAGAGTGTCTTGAGAACAACTGCTAATTACTAGTTCTAAAAACTGAACGAGAATCGGAAGAATAAGACGTTTAATTGGAGCTCGTAAATCTCTAGGTGGTTTCTACTGTTACTTTTTTTTGTTCTTTTAAATGACGTGACATAATTTTCTTAAAAGTAAAATAGAGAAAACCAACCAGGGTCCTTTCGTATCTGAGGTATTGATATAAAGGATTCTTTTTGGAAAACGTGATAAACATTTAGGTCTAATATTTTAAGAACTGGGTAAGATTAAATAATCCAATTTATGTAATCATCTAATTTTCCTATTAGTCGACAAAGGTTAAACCGCCAATTAGAATCTTGTGCCAGGACTCTTTGCTGAGGAGCAAATACTTGAATTGAACAGTCAAATACTTATTTTTCTATATGCAAATTATTCTAGTATTCATAGAAAGTACAAGTAATAAACAACTAATAATAATTATTTAATATTATTTTATTCCGTCATGTTTAAAATGTTATGTATAATTTAAGAACTTAGGTTAAGTGAGGGTATATATGGTATTTGAATTCACCATTATTTTTCATGGCTTCTTTATGTTAACAGAATTTATATGTAAAATTGTTGTCTTGGAAATAGATGTTGTAAATACATATCTCAACATGTCACAATTTTCATATCCTAAGAGAAATATGGAACAGTTTTCTCTTGTACGTTACTGATGTAAGTAGATCTGGTCTACAAATAGAAAATGAATTTCTAATAATTAAGATGCTGAAAAATGTATTTCAGTAGCAAGAAGAAAGTGGAATGCGAACTTAGTTTTACAAAAAGATGTGTCATGGCTATCAATTATTAATTAATTTATCTTGATTGGTACTTGTTTCTGTTAAAAACAAATTCAAACTGCATTCAATAACAAGTATAAATATGTATTGCGTGAATTTCTAAAACTGACGCGTTTCTCGTAAATGGAAAAGGAAAATTATATAGAGACAATGCGCATGTGAAGTTGTTAGCACAAATATAGTTCAAGACATACAGTACGCGCCTAAGGTATGGAATAAAATTCAGTAAAAACGAAACAATTTTTTTTTTTGGGAAAAATCCTCGTACTGGTCGATTTTTAATTTAAAAAATACATATTTTAGCATAAAAGGCGATTTTCAACCGTCATTTGTTTTCTAGTAATGACGTCATCGACATTTTTTTAAATAGCAACCCCCTATTTTTTTCTTGATTCTGAAAGATCGTTTCATTGTCGATCCGACGACAGTATTAAAATGTTGCCATCTTACATAGGAAAGTTTTCGAGTAAATGAGGATTGAATGTTAGAAAACTCAAATCAATTAAAATAAAGCAAAAACGTTATCAAATTTAGTTTTTCGAAATGCCTGAAGTTTTTTATGGATCACGTAGGTGTAAATCTTTACAAAGTGTCACTGTCATATCGACTTTCTAACTATTGTAAACGATATAAAACTATTGTTGAATTTAAAGTATTATGGCACATTTAACTGTCACACAAAGAACTGAAATTTTAATTCTTATCGGATGCGGGGATAAGACTAGAACGCAGCAGGAAGTTTGCAATTTATTTAATGAAAAACATCCAGGTCGCCGTATCAGCCAATCAACAGTCAGTAAGATATAATCTAAATTTAGAGAAACTGGCAATGTTGTAGATATTCAAAAACCTGGACTTTCAAGCGTTAGTGAAGATCACAAACAGAACATTTTGATAAGTATGGTAGATAATCCTCATAATACTTCACGATTGGTTGCATTAAACAATGAAATTAGTCAGACCACAGTATTCTGAGGAAGGAAAAATATCATCCCTACAAAATTCAACTTGTGCAGGAACTCAATGAAGACGATCCCGACCGCTTACATTTTTGTAAAATTATGATGGATTTATGTCAAGTAAACCGGAAAATACTTTTTTCAGACGAGGCCACACTTTGTCTCAATGGTACAGTGAACCGTCAAACTTGCTGGTATTGGAGTCGGGAAAATCCTCATTGGATGGCAGAGACACATACCCAACACCCACAGAAATTAAATGTGTGGACTGGAATAGTTGACAACAGAATAGTAGGGCCTTTCTTCTTTGAAGGAACCCTTACAGGAGAAAGATATTTAGAGTTTTTACAAAATGACCTTGTTCCAGCGCTTGCAGTAATTTTTCCTAACGATAATGACCCTGATGTTCGTGATGACACCATATGGTTTCAGCAAGACGGTGCACCTCCGCACTATGCGCGCCGTGTTCAAGATTTTCGGGACAATTGTTTTCCTAGGAGATGGATCGGCAGACGAGGACCGGTAGAATGGCCCGCGAGATCCCCAGATCTTACACCCCTGGACTACTTCTTATGGGGCTATTTAAAGTCCAAAGTGTGCGTTAATAGACCACATAATTTAGAAGAACTCCAAAATTGTATAGATGAAATACACAGAGTTACCCCAGAAATAATTCATAATGGAATTG